AATTTAGTGTTAGATATAGTGGTATATATTTGATTCTAAAGTCAGATTTTTTTAAATAAATTATTTGAAGTACTGGTTTCAAAGCAATTAAATAACACACCAACAGGCTGCCAAAGCTGTTAATGAATTATACCAGTGCTTAAAAAATATTGTTATTTATGACTCCATTATAATAATAAGTAATACAATTTTTTAAATAATTTAGCATTCTTGGAGAAAAATTCAAATATATTATTACCTAGTTACTACCTTTGACTTCCTTTATAGTAATCTACAGATTCTCTCAAAGTGGCTATGACAGAGACATTTTTTGCATTTCCAGAGTTGACAATGAGAATGGTACATTTATAAAACACATGATATTAAACATTTTACTGTAAATTAGAAGGGTGTACTTCTATGAACCTGCTAAGTAAATGACATGCCAATTTATAATATCCTAGAGAGTATGCACAATTGTTCATTACCCACTTTGCTGTGACTGGAAACAGTCCCATTGCCTCTCTGTACATGAGCATTGACCCTAAACATCACAGCCAGCCTCTCACCAAACTTGAGGGAATAGGAAAAGCCAGAGTGAAAGAGTAGATAAAGCCAGGCTCCGGTGGCTCAGTCTGTAATCCTAGCCACTCACAAGGCTGAGATCTGAGGATCACGGTTCAAAGCCAGCCTGAGTAGGAAAGTCCATGAGACTCTTAGCTCCACTAAACCACCAGAAAATCGGAAGTGGTGCTGTGGTAGAGCGCTCACCTTGAGCCAAAGAGCTGAAAGCCATTGCCCACACCCAGAGTTCAAGCCCCACAATCGACAAAAAAAAAAAAAGGTAAAGGTGACCATAAAAAAATGAGATATAAATTGAGACTTTGAAGAAGGCACCTACATGTCATACTAAGATATCCTCTACTTAAATTTTGACTGTCATGTTCAACATTTGACAAAATGCATTAAATAAAGTCCTGCCTCTCGCAGTTTTTCCTATGAAGCCAGGTGAGAGTTAATTCTTTGATGATCTTAGCATAGGAAAACCATAAAATAAATTCTCACCTCTTGAATCTGTGAGCTTATTTACTTTTCATCCAAGGATTGAGTTAAAAACAGAAAAGGATGAAAAAGACGTGAAAGATGCCAAATTAAGCAGGCAGAGAATGTTTGTATATGTGTTTGTGTGTGTGTTTGTTTATGTGTATGATAATCTAAGGATACTTAATTAACATTTAACTGTTTCAAGTGTTGAACTTGTCTTCTCTTTTATCAGTTTTTTATGACCATCAGGTAAAGATTGTCTTCTGTGAACAGACTGGCTAGTGAGGTCAAGCTTATGCAGGGGCACTTTTTGTTGTTGTCATTTTGCAAACTCTGATCCTTCAGCCATATCAGCATTATAACATACCTCAGCAAAAATTAACACAGCTATGGTTGGACCACTCTACACCAAGGTAAAACTATTTCAAGGAATTCCCAATTTTAAATTGATTGCTTCCTTATCTGCTGGAAAATTAGTAAGTAGGAAAGCAGGAGAATGTATTTAAAAGGGCAAGGAGAAGAAAGGAGTATGGAGAGGAGAGGGGACATTTGCTAGCTTTTTTGTATCATCTAAAACAGTGGCCTTTATAAATTGTTGAAATGCTGGATGATTTGGTTATTGACTGAGCTTCTGCCCTCAAGAAATTGGAGATAAATACTATAATAGTTAATGTGTGTGGAACTACCCACAGCTTTTATAAACTAAATAAACTGGAAATTTATAAATGTGTATACTTAAGGAAGTTTCCACATAAATATTAAGGGGAGCCAAAAGAAAAGAAACCGACTCCATCTCCAATGTACTAGGAGCTCTCCCCCCCCCCCAGCCCCGTCCCTAAGCTAAAAATTAAAATGCTGATGTCTGAATGTTGAAACAATACTGGTTTCTGAAATGTTAAAACTGGAAAGTTCCTCTACTTGCTAAAATAAGACTGTATGACTTGATTGACCATATACATTATAAAATGTAATAGATCAGCTTGTTCCCAAACAGGACTTCCTCTATTTGGGGGACTTAGGAGAAGACCACCCCCGCGAAACTTATGGGGAGACTCCCGCCTTTGCCCGCCAATTATGTAACCTATCTGTGTGTCTAACAATGCCTTTGGCACCTGCGTGTGGCCAGCCTCGACCACAGGGTTCTGTGGTTTTTGTCTTTAAAACCCCAGCTTGAGGATGGTTCGATGTTGCAGTGTCAACTCCGCAATCTGTGCTGCGTCCCTGGCTGGTCAGTTATCCACTTTCCCAATGAATCCATCTTTTTATATGAGACCGTCTCTGTGTGGTGGACTCTCTTCCCCATAAGAATAAATTCTTGAAAGAGTCTTCTACAGACATAAAAACTTTATGTAGATAAAGTGCATATCAGTGTCTGGACTGAGCTGGGCAAGAAACACAGTAGATCTTAAATCCTATTTGGCAAAATGAGGACATGGATTGGTTTTAGATAGACCAAATCAGGCAATACATCTTGACCGAACTTTCGAGGGAGCTGTAGAGTACAAACTAAAGTCAATAGATATTGTAGAATCTAAATATGAAGAGATGATACAAAAGAATCTGGGGATCACTGGAAATATTAACACTTTTTGACAGTCCATATGTAACAGGATTTCATTCGATCACTAGCACAGTATTTTACACATATTGAGCCCCTAGGTGGTACGACACAAAGGTGGGCTTTGAGTGCCAATACTGGGTCTCTGCAGGCTCTTCATCTGTAACCAATGTACCAAACGATATGTCGGGTAATGGAGAGTCTACTGGTGTATGAGGGGGCAGTTTTGCTGTGAACTTCCTTCCCAGTTTTGCTGTGAACCTAACACTCCTTTGTAAGTCCTAACACTCCTGTGTAAGTACTTTAGGATTCTCCCTAGAGTTTGTTTGAGAATAAAGAGTAGCAAAGGGTGAAAGGAATACAACTATCAAGCCTCGGGTCTAATGAGAAATGCAAGTCTCTCTCGGTGAGTATGATTTGGGTTTTAGGACTCTGATGTGAGTGTTAGATAAGTTCAAGATCTTAAAGTAACTCTATTACTAAAACCAGGTAATCTATACAAATCTGAAATCTTCTTCATCAAGGACTTGTTAGGAAAGCTGATCTCAAAGCCTTTTCTGAGACCATGGACAGGTCAATACATATTTCTTGTATGATTTACATGACTAATATTAGTTGGAATAAAATTCAGAAGATATACATTTTAGAAATATGGAGCACCGCAGGAATTTCTTATCACTTTAAAACTTGGGAATCCTAAAACAAATGTTGTTGCTCTTTGGCTCAAGGGTGCATGTTCACAATAATTCTTGATGACAAAGAAAGACATCACTCAAATATCGTGTCAGCTAACCCTGGGTTTAATTGTATGGTATGTGTTTGTGGGTGTGTGCACGTGTGTGTATAAGTTCATATCAAATGAGAATATTGTAGAAAAATAGAAAACATGGAAAGCATGTAAGAACTTAACAGTAATTATAATATAAATATATCTTAGCAATTTTTCATTTTGATTGAAGAGTATTTATAAATGCCTAAAATTTTTATGTTGCTTTAGATTTTAAATATCAGAATCTTTTCTTTATTACCTTTATAGTATGTTTTCCTCTTTTATTAGGTTAAATTATTTGCATCAGAAAACACTATAAATACTAAAGTTTCCATTGTAATTTTGGTACACATTGCAATACTCTTACAAATTATATCATATAATTCAAAGGCACATTAGAATGCATAATTTAGCAATAAATGGTCATTTAATTGTCCCTCATGCCTTTTGAATTTTATCCCTTCCAGAAATGTAAAGGTTTCTTTTTCAGAAATAGATATTGAAAGAAAAGTCTCTTAATCTCCTAATATTCTTCGAGCAATATTCAATTATATAGTGTGCTTAGTCTTTTCTTTAATATTCTGAAAGAAAACTTTTATTTTATTTTGTAATAACATAATATGAGAGCTGTCATCTTAATATAATTTAAGCATGAAATGCATTACTGTTAATTATATATGTGATACAACAAATTTCTGGGACTAGTTCATCTTACTTGATTAAAATATCTATTGTTGAATTTCTTCTTTCCTTGATTTATGGAACTTAATCATTTTAGACAATACATTAAAATGGAATCAACATTTTCCTTTCTGTATTTGTTTTAGTTTGCTTAACAAAAATTGTCTTCAAGATCCAGCTGTGTTGTCCAGTAGTTCTTTTTTCAAGACTGAGTGATCATTTCCCCTAGGAAAGCATATCACTAGTCAACAGGTATATGAAAAAATTGTTCCTCACCACTAATCATCAAGAAATAAAAATCAATACCATGATGAGCTATTATCTCATATCCCCCAACATGCTTATTACAAAAAAATTAAAAGCAAGGATGAGAAGATGGAAGAAATGAAATACTTCTGTATTATTGGTATGAATACCAAGTGATTCAGAGCTGCTACATGAAATGGTGTTATTGTTCTTCAGGTTTTTTTTAAGCTATAAGTAAGCTAAGTACTAGTACTAAGTACTAGTAGTTCACCTCTACTAGTAGTTTCCCACAGTTTCAAGAATAATCTTATTCATTCGATATTAGTGTTCATTTGCTGTTCATTAATGCACATGTGCTCATTTTGTGGATGGCATTCAGCATTGTGAGGGTGCCATCAAATGGAGGAGATCCACAGCATATCTTGTAGAGATTTCTCTTGCAGTTTAATAATAAAAAAATTATAGGAGTTTCTTATTGTCTCAGAAATCAAGTGTTACTCTCTACCATTGTTCAGAAAATGTAAAAACATACATTGATTGTAGCTCCTCACCTAAAAAAAAAAAAACAAAAAGCATGTCTCAAAATTACACAGCATCAATATATGAAGAACCTCATGTTTCCCTGAACACATGAACAACTGAAAATATATGTCACCTTTGTCTGACACCATGGATGCTCCATAATATGCAAAATTCTGAAATCTTGTGCTTCTCTTTTTATAGGGCCTTCTTTTATCAAATGGTTCTCGAAAAACATTTTCCACTGGAGAAATCATTAACCCCATGTCAGCTGGGGCCCAGGAACGCATAGACTTGTCTTTGAATCTATATCTCCTCTGGTCAGCCCATTCCATATCCTCACGGTCCTCATGCTCATTTGGCAAAAGCTTGGTGGAGCAGTGTTAGCAGAGATCATGGATGCACTGTGGTGGAATGCCTCCAACACTTGTTTCACAACACTCATTTCTTGAAGAAAATGTCAGTTCTTAGAGTTTGCTTTTGGAGTTAGAATGTGGGAAAATATCTGATGTTTTTAAATATTCCCCATCACTTAGTGCTTTGTTACTGTTTCTTTTACTTAATAAATGAAGAAAACACTCTTGGCTGGGGATGTAGTTCAGTGATTGAGCACTTGTTTAGGATGTGTAAGACCCTGAGTTTAATCCCTAGAATTAGAAAAGAAAATATCCCAAGGCAATAAGAGAGAAAAATACTTGTATATATTGATATACTTGATAAGAAAAATCACAACCCAGTTATAACTTATCTATTAACAATAGAAGTCTCCCAGCACAAAATAAAAATATACTAGAGATTTCATATAAGTCAATTTCAGGGAAAAATTGATTTTTTTCTGAATAGTTGCTAAAATTATACAAATATTTTTACCAGAATTGGATGTTATTATTGCTGAAACCATGATTTGGTTCATTGTTAGAAGCAGAGTTTATTCATAAATCTTAAGGTTGCATGAGAATGCTAACGCACACAGAATATAACAGTCCTTAAGAAAAATAGATATCTTGCCACTCCCCACAATACAGTAGAATAAAATGCCAAGTGAACTATACTACATTTAGTCAAATATTTCTTTAACTTCCTTATGTTCAGAATCTAAAAGTCTTACAGATACAGACATCAAGTGGAAAGGTAGTTTCCAGGGCTCAGGAGATAGTAGGGAAGAAATGAAGAGCTGTTAATTAATCCAAGTACAAACTTAAAGTTGTGAGGCCAAGTCCTAGAGAGCTAACATACATCATGGTGACCATGGTTAATAATTATATTTCTTATACTTGAAATTCAGTAAGAGAGTAGTCTTACCACAAAGGAAAAAATATGTAGGTGAGATGATGTTTATATTATTAGTTTGAGTATGGTAATCACTTCAAATATGTGAATATATTAAAAACATCATGCTGTACATTTAGATATGTAAAATTTTGTTAATGATACATCGGTTAAACTGGAAAACAAATCTTTCTATAATTGCTATTTAAAAATTACTTATTTTTCTAAAATTAATATTTTCCTTATCTTTCATTAGGTTTTCCTGCATAGATATTTGTTTTGATGACTCTTTTTGCTTTCTCTAAGACTGAACTTCTTTGCAACACTCAATAAAATTCAATTATGCTTGCTGTACTTATAAAAATATTTTAAATTTGCATCAGAAACATTGAATCAGGCCACAAAACACAACTAATACTCTTAATGTTTAAGTTCTATTTGAGCTCTGTGTAAATTCTCTGTGTGTTTATTTTGATATACAAGGATATCACTGAGTCATTTGGAAAATGACTCTGAGGACCTTCTTCCTCAGAATATAGAAACAAAAATAGGAGGTGAGTACTTACTGTATTCAGAACTGGTAAAACTCTGGATAGTTAAGTATACTAATCTAAAGTACAACATTGTGTTTGTTTTCCTTTCTAGATTATGCCATTTAGTTTGCTAATGCTTCATTTTCCTGGGATGACACAGGAATTCCAGTATTAAAAGAATAAGTCTTGATTGGTGGCCATTTTACAAAGAATTTCAGTACTGAATTCTAGAACTTCCAATTTTTGTTTCTTTGAATTTTATAAGACGGCTATGCTGAAATGTATCAATAAGCCTTTTTAATTTATTATTTAAGTTAATTTAATGTATTATTTTAATTTAATGTATTATTTAATTATTATTATTATTTATATTTAATTAGTATTATTTAATTAATAATATTTAATTAATAGTTTGAAAGAGCCTCAAGATCACTCAGCCTGCTTGCATGGATGTGCTCTACCACTTGAACCACACTTCCATTCTGGCTTTTGCTGGTTATTATGGAGATGGAATCTCAGGTTTTTCTACACAAGCTGACCTTGAAGCTGACCTTGAAACCCTCGGAACTGCAGTGTCATAATTTGCTAGGAATACAAGTGTGAGTCATTGGCTTCTGTCTAATAAACACTTTTAAAATGCCTTTTTTTAAAATATGTATTTCATTTCCATAGTGATGTTACTGTTCCTTTTTATTTCTAGTCATTTCCTGTTACTGGAGTAGTTCTTGTTTCTTTTCACATTGTGGAAAGCTAAATATTTAAAGAAAATTGTGAAAAGCATTTTAATGATGTCTGTAGTGACTAATCTAAGGATACACTTTAAAAGCTACTGAAACAACAGTTTCTATAACATCTCTTCCCACTTCTTGTCATGCAGCTTTAACCTAAAAATTCCAGAAGGAGATTTGGTGGCTTTTGTTGGCCAGGTTGGATCTGGAAAATTGTCTGTGCTGTCTGCTCTTCTGGGAGAAATGGACAAACTTGCAGGAGTTACCAAAAAAAAAAAAAGGTAACCATTGTAGTACATCCCTTTAACATCTCCTAATTGAAGTTTCAATTGCCAAGTTGTTATCAGTATCAACAAGAAGCTTTTAAATTAACTCTAAGATCCAAACACTAACAAACATCATAATATTCTTAGAAATTGATTAACTATGGATGGATTAGTGACAGAAATCTGTCCTCCAAATTCTTCAACAAATCATCTTGGAATTTTTTGATGATATTCACTGAATTCAAACCAATTACAGAAAAATCAGTGAGATTCATATGATTTTGTTTTCTAATTATCATTCCTTACAAAGTCCCCTAAGTAATGAACAGTAATTTTTTATTTCTAACACTTAAGGTTATGGGTAGACTTTTTATCTAAAGGAAACATCAGAAAAAATATTAATAGCCCTTATTTAACTTTAAACATATGAGGAGATCTACACTCTATAATTTGTTTGACTCCCATGTCTAAAAGATATTATAATATTTAAAATGATTAGATACTTAATCTTAATCAGCTATGTGGTTTTATTTTGAAACATCAGACAATCCAATGCTTTAATTTTCTCCTTAAGTCTAATTAACTCTTGTATAAAATACTATTCTAGTCCTTAGGAGTTTCTCCTCACCCTTACTTATTCTCCCTCTTTGAATAAAATCAACTCTATCATGTCTCATAATGTATTCTTTTTCATAGGCTTTTATCTTTCTTTATTATAGTCATTTTGTGACTAAGTCAATCACGACAAATGTTTAAGTAAGCTATCAAATTGAATGGAAATGTAAAACAAATCAAAATAAATTTTATTTTAAAGACCAAGAAAGAATCTGAGATGCTATAGCTGTTTATTTGACCCCAATAAATAACTAGGAATTGATAGAGGGAAAATTCTAGGTATCACTTAGTACGTTAATAAGCATAATGAGCTGAAAAGCCTTGAAGTAAGGATCGAAGGTAAGGTTGGATAAATACCTAGTTTCTGAAGAGTCAGACAGTTCTGTATAAGAATATTGGTGACTATCATTAGTTTGGCTTTGGTGATTGTGCCTTTGTAAGATTAAGCGATTATGAAATCTTGGAATAATTATAAGTTAGAAAGTATTCAAGTAAATGAAAGACATCATAAAAAGTATACATATTTGCTTATATTAAATTAGAGGTGTTCCAGTGAGAAGATAGTTTCTGTTTGTATAACTTTAACTTTGGCCTTGAGCAACACTTTGATTAGCCAATGACAAATGTGTAGTATTGCAGTTTGACTTTTTTCTCAAACATTTTTGTCCTGAACTTGCAAGTTTCCTCTTGGTAATCTAATTACGTAAAATTGTCAATATAATGGCATAGTAAATTTAAGATCTGGAGTTTGAAAGTGCTTTTGTGTACAGCTTCTATTTCTCCATGTCTGAGATAATCATATAAGAGGCCTAGTTCATATCACAATGTTCATGCTCTAAGAAAGACCACACACATTCTCCACAATCCCCTGTTCCACTATGTAGCAAAGCTCATACTAGGCACTATGCATTCAGAGTGTTTAGTATTTAGTGTTCTCTGATTGAACTTCCAGAGACTTGGAGACCATTATTAATTTTAAAAAATCAATCATAGAATTTCTTATTATAAATGCAATAAAATGAATTTTCCTTTTCATGTAGGAGCCAAATAATTTTTATAATAATCAAAAAGGAAAAGTTTACATCTATGTGAAAGTTGATCTGTGGCTTTCTACTTCTATAGTGCCAAGATAAGACCATACTTCTCAATGCAGTATTTAGGGTTTTTTAAAAATGTTTTATGATGTATTTTTCATGTTACTAATCTTTTCTCTTGTGTTCTTGAAGTCATTTTCTTTTCTGTTTAATTTGTTTGATGTGCCATTGCCACAAGTATTCAAAATATTTTTCAGCTGTGGATTGATTTAATAAGCTATTTAATCAAAGGTAGATTATTCACTTCACAGGGAAATTTAAGAACAATTGCTTTTATGTTCAAGATCAGGTCAAATCAGAATTTACATCATTTTTGATCAAAAGCTATTCTGTGTCTTACAAGCTCAACCAGGAATTGAATGTTAATCTTTGATCTTTAAAGCAGTAGAAATCAAAAGGCTAATAGTTGCATACAAGCCTCCTCTGAAAGTTCTTTAAATGTCTACTATTGTTATAGAACGTACACTAGTCAAAATACTAGTGGATCATGCTAAATAGAATCTGTGGAGCAGATTGAAAGATAGGTCTCTCTGAAATACTGAAAGTTCTTTTCAAAGCGAATAGTGGTAGCTCATAGACTAACTTGTGCTGAAAGTGTTATGTTTTGAAGAATCATTTCAAGCCACTGAAATAAAATAAATGGGTTTAAGAGCAATGATAAATGGGCAAGCTATGGGCTGCCCACATTGCCCTTCTCAGACATATTTGCTGCCTGCTGGGAGACCAGGATCATCAATTTAGCTCCCTCAGGGTACAGAGTAGAGCAATCCCTCTCCTAACATGGACCAGCTGATGATGCTTCTCAGGGAATCGAGAGGGTTGACTAAAGTTTCTCAGGTGTGCATTTCCTTCTTCCTACTGTTTGCTTTTCCCTCTCTCCAGTCTTCTTTCTTCTTTCCTCTACAAGGATTGATCGCCACCAACATATAATCTATACACCAAATTCTGCCTGAGTATTAGAGATTGAACTGTGGTCCCTAAAGTCTCCTATGTTGAAGTTGTGATCTCTGGGTGCCACCCCTTGCCCCAGTCCCTGTATCCGAGAAAGTTACTGTATTTGGACACAGAATCTTTGAAGAGTTAAAATTGTCTTATTATGGTAAGCCTTAATGCAGTGAGACTGAAGTCCCAATAAGAGGAGAGTGGACTGCAGATATGAACACCAAGGAATACTTTGAGAATCACAGGGAGAAAACCACTGCCTGCAAAGCAAGGTCTCACAAGGAACCAACCCTGCTGCTGTGTTGGCCTATGACTTCTAGCTTCTAGAATTTTGAAATGATAAATATGTTTTTTTGGGTTTTTTTAAGCCTCACAGTTTGTGGTACCTGTTACTACAGTCCTGGAGAACTAAGACATTCGCCTTCTACTTCCAAGAGAGGCCTCCAAGACACAGTTGACTTGATAGAACTTCAGAGAAAACAAATAAGAAGTACAGTGTAGCTCACTTGAAGGGAATGCTAATAAACATATACAATATTAAAATAGGACACTATGGACTGTATTTAAATGCATATAAGGAAATAAATTGAAAATTGCACATATATCTACATGTATATGCACACTAAAGAAAGCAAAACTATAAACTAAACATGGTCTTTTAATATTGTTTGTGGATCTTGCTGCTTTCCCTTGCTAAGAATCCTCCTTTATTTTCTGTCTTTAGGGCTCAGTGACTTATATGGTAAGCCTGGATTCAGAACTGTATTTTGTAAATATACATATATATATATATATCTCTTTAGCTCCATGATACAGACACAGTTTTATGTGCAAATTTTGGAGGCCTGCCTGCTCCTTCCTGACTTAGAGCAATGACCAAATGGAGATCAAACTAAGATTGGAGAAAGAGTGAGAAAATATAATTTATCCTCCTTCAGGAATGAATGGACATTCAGCTATGCTCATAAAACAGTAACAGCATTTTTACTGAAGTCTTGAAGAGATCTACAAACTACTTTTAAAACCTCATTAATTCCTGTGGAAAAGTTGGAAGTATCTAAGGACAAGTACTTTCTAAAACTGTCTCTCTAGAAAATAATTAAAATAATTAAAATTGAAATTTAATTAATTAAACTATTTTAAAATGTCATTCTTAGCATCCATGTGGGGGAATAAAAGCCAATCAATATTACCAACATTTGTGTATCAGTGGCTAGCACCATATTCTTTACTTCCTAAAGAATATACTGGAATAAGGACTAATGTTGGTTTTTTCCTGCATATTTTTGCACAAAATCAAGACCAGTATGGAGCAACCGAGTGCTAAGGTTAGGTTCTACAGAAGCCCGAAGATATCACTGTCACTCAGGTGACAGTTCTATTTTATTTACATAGTATCTACAATTTACAGTTTAAAAGAATTGGATTTTATGACCAGAAATACAAAATTCTAAAGATCATCGCCAACCAATGATTAAAACCTCCATTAATTAAACATGAATTTAAAAGTGTCATCTTCTTATCATCCATATGTGCTATAGAGATGAGTAAATAACTTTACTGGGAACTATGAATTTCTAAGAGACTGGGCATGGACTACCTTATAAATTGATTAAAAATATGGTATTACATAAAATTATGGGAAGTAGAAATAAATAAAACCCAGCATATGCCAAAATTTACTTTATACCTAGCCTGACTTAATTTGTAACGTGTTACTTTGCAAACAAAATTTTAAACAAAATGATTCCATAGTTGAAATGCGGCAGAAATATGACTTCTTTAAACTTAGCAGTACATCTGAAAAAAATGGAATATCTGATAGGTTGTAGCCACATAAAATACAAGCAGGAGCAAATCCAAATTTCAGAGTAGTTTCAATATAGAAACTAAATGCTACTGTTATTTTTAATTTTGTTTTATATAATCAGATGTTGCACAATATGATGATGTATTTTAAAATAAACATGGACTTGAATATATTTTTAAATCTGCTTACAGCTGTTTATAACAAAGACAATGAAGATAGTTTTCCCTACTATCATTATTCTATTTCTTTGACACTTTTTAATTGAACATGGTGTTTAATTTAGTCTATGCCCTGGTTCTGTTATGGGGTACCTACTAGTTAACAAGAGAATTATCACCATTCTTTCAAAGTATCTGAAGCCTAGTAGAACTCTACCAAAGATGTTAATCAATTATGTCTACCAATATTCTTTACCTTGTGTCATATACTAAGTGTTGCAAATACAAAGATAAACTAATGGGAACTCATAGACTAGTAAGAGAGATTTTATGTCTACCAATGTGAGAAGTAAGATAGAAAGGGAGAAAATCAACACTTCCCTTGAGACACTAGAAAGGAGTTTACTTTCGAAGAGGAACTCTTCAAATGAGTATCGTTTAACTTGAACATGGAGGGTGCAGATTTTGCAGGCAGAATTAACAGCCTACTATGAAAGAGCATGTTAGTATGAAAGGACCATGATTCCATTCAAGAATAACCAAGCTGGTGGTAAACGAGATGGTGATAAAATTGTAGTTTAAGTGATGCAAATCAGAGGATGAGTTGGAGAAGAGTGGCTGGATGATATAGTTAATGTTGTTTGTATTTATACTTAGGATTAGATTTGTCCCAAATATTTGTACACTCACTGCTTTCAGGGTTTAATACCCAAGTCATACATACATGCCATGTTGCCTTATATATTATTTTATCATGCATTTTTCCTATTTCTGAACTCTCCTCGTGACAAAAGATATCTTATTTATCTCTTTCTAAGGGCTAACATAGCATCCAGAATACTGTCATATGAGGAGATAATTTTGAGTAGTAAAAGGACATTAAATACCAAGAGCTAAAGGCATTTTACAACTATTGGTCATAGCCTAATTTCTGTGCAACACTGAGAACTTTATCATAAGATCTATAAACTCTCAACTCCAAATGGATCAAAGACCTCGGAGTCAAAGCAGACACTCTGAAAACGTTACAGGATGGAATAGGAGAAACCCTAGGCCTCCTTGGCTCAGGCTGAAATTTTCTTAATAGAGACCTGGAAACACAACAAATCAATGAAAGGTTGGACAAATCAGAATGCATGAAGTTGCAGAGCTTCTGCATGGCAAAGGACATAGCTAGCAAGATCAATAGAAAGCCCACGGATTGGGAAAAGATCTTTACTAGCCATACAACTGACAATGGTCTCATATCTAAAATATACTTGGAACTCAAAAAATTAAATCCCCAACAACAAATCCTCAAAGAAACAACTGCCCAATAAACAAGTGGGCGAAAGACTTGAAGAGAAACTTCTCTGAAGAAGAAAGAATGATGGCCAGTAGACACATGAAGAAATGCTCAACCTCCCTAGCCATAAGAGAAATGCAAATCAAAACAACATTGACATACCACCTCACTCCAGTTAGAATGGCAAAAATCAAGAACTCTAACAACAACAGATGCTGGAGGGGATGTGGACAGAAGGGAACCTTACTTCATTGTTGGTGGGAATGTAAACTTGTTCAACCACTTTGGAAAGCAGTATGGAGATTCCTCAAAAGACTCCACAGAGAACTCCCCTATACCCAGCAATCTCACTTTTGGGCATTTACCCAAATGTTTACAAACAAGACCACTAAAGCTACCAGCACAACTATGTTTATTGCAGCATTATTTACCATAGCTAAGATCTGGAACCAACGAAGACGTCCCTCAGTAGATGAATGGATCAAGAAAATGTGGTATATATACACAATGGAATTCTATGCCTCCATCAGAAAGAATGACATTGCCCCATTTGTTAGGAAATGGAAAGGCTTGAAAAAATTATATTAAGTGAAGTAAGCCAGGCCCAAAGAAACATAAGTCCCATGGTTTCCCTTATTTGCAATATCTAGTATATGTATGAGTCAAGCAGAAAAGGTCAGATAATGTGATGTCAGGAAAATGAACCCTTAGATATGTATTTAAATGTTTTTTTCTTTCATACATTTGTTTCTAACTCATTTATAAGATTATTTCTTTGTTGCTTTGTATGTCCCTCCCCCACAGTATAACCCCTGCTTTCATTATATTTGATGTTGGTATAATTTGTGGAGGAGATGGGGAAAACAAGTCATTTAAGGATACAGGTGGACCCGTTGCAACTATGAGAAGTACAAGTTGTCATGTCAAAAACGAACTTTACAACTTTGGTGGGGAGGGAGAGGGGGATTAGATGGGGGGAAGCGAGGAGGCTGGGAAGGGATGTGAAGGGTAAACAAAGGAGGAGGCTGCAATGCTTGATAAGATATGTGCTCATTATCTTGCCCATGTAATTGTAACCCCTCTGTACAGTATGTTCACAAAAAATAAAAATAAACATTTTTTTAAAAAAAGAAAAAAAAGATCTATAAACTCTAAACATAAAATGAATTGAGTAAATTGGACCTGACTCCATAATTCTCCATACACAGCTGTACATGTCAACCTTAATTCTAACATGGAGATGTCTATTTGTTGGGTTTATTTTTATTTTTGCTTCATAGACTTGTACTTTTGCCAGCAACACTTGTACTAATCTTTCTGCAATAGAAAATAGAACATGTTGATTACTGCTTTGATAATTTAGCTATTATTCTCAATTTGCTATGTGTCAATTTAAAAGTGACTACTAGTGTCAGGATACGGTTTGCAGTCAACTGTACTTCTCACTGCTCCACAGACATGACTTTTCAGAGAATGAGGTCTGGTAATTCTTTCTCTCTGTATTGCAAATGAGCCTTTTAAAAAGTGAGACTTTAAGAGAAAATAAATGTGCATGTTAGACTGAGTGCTTGTGGAAAATGCCTGTAATCCTAGCTACTCAGGAGTCTGAGATTTGAGGATCATGGTTCAAATCAAGCCCAGGCTGGAAAATCTGTGAGAAACTGTATTAATCACAAAAAATTTTACCCCTTTCATTATTTGTGCCAAGATACTGTTGCTATGGCTCAAGTGGTAGAGTGCCGGCCTTGAGCACAAAGGCAGGGTCAGTACCTAGGTCCAGAGTTCAAGGCCCAGGACTAAGAAAAAAAAATCTATGTTAGTTTTCCAAATAAGTAAAACTTGGAAATAGACTGGCCCAGGAAATCATGGATAAAGACAATGTTCATTGTTTATCTTGAGTTGTCATCTGTCCTTGCTATGGAAAAGCATGAGGGCCAGAGAAAAAAGGATCATCAATGGAGACCGACATGACCAAAAATCATGAAAGTCTATCTGAAAAATAAGCAAAAGTGAAATAATGAAGGCATGGCTCAAGTGGTAGCATATTTGCCTAGCAAGCAGGAGGCCTTGAGTTCAGTCTCACATACTGTCCCTGCTTTCTCCATAAGAAAACAGAATGAAGATAAAAGTATTTGAAATGAACAAACCTTCCCAGTCTTATAACAGAAGTGAACCTAAGTGGAGGCCAGAAGTAGTGCGTGAGCCTGGCCCACGCTGTGTACTCTGGGGTTGATATCGATCTCCTGGA